CACGTTTCCGCCCGACACGCAGCGTGTGTGGCCCCGAGGCCCCGCAGGTGCGCCGCGCCCGGGACTGCAGCCTGCTCCGAGGAAGGGGCGCGCCCGGCCGTCGGGACCCGGTGGGAGCGGACCAGACCCGAAGAAGCCGGGCCTCAGCTGCCTCCAGTCCCGGTCTCCGTGGGACGAGCTGCCCCGGAGTTTTGAAGGCGATTTGTGAAAACAAACTCCCACAGATAATGGGGTTCTCATGAACCCCGTGACACTGTTCTTCAGCTTCGGCCATGACACCGACTCGTTGTCCTTGTCGTCAGTTTTATTTCCTCCACCCCCGTCCCTCGGCTACCTTACTTTGAAGCAAGACCCAGGCGTCATTTCATTCATATTTTTTATAACGATCTATTTTTATTTATTTATTTTTATATGGTGCTGAAGATTGAACCCAGTGCCTCACACGTGCTAGGCAAGTGCTCCACCACTGAGCCACAACCCCAGCCCTCATCCGTAATGTCTTTTAAATCTCCGAATGATAAAGATTTAAGAAAACCAATAATCACAATATCATTCTCACACCTAAAATAAACAGCACTAATTTACCACCTGTCCACACAGATACATATTTCCAGGTTTGAAACACAGATTTGGTGGGCTTCCTGATGCCCCATGAGGACAATGACAAACTAGAGCCATGCATGAACCACTTGTGACTAGTGGCGCCCCCCAAAATTCTTTTTTTCACATTAAATCTGTAGGTTCTCTGGGCAACAGGATAAGGGGCAGAAAATGGTGACCTGTGGACTTGTGGAAGGGGCAGGGACCATTTGCTTCATTTGTTAGAGAGAAAGTGTGTCTTTAAAAGGAAAGGAATTTGTTAGATGCCTTGAGCAAGCTGGGGATCTGTACTAGGAAGCCCCCAATTCCTGTGTCAAAACACCTCCTACAAGGTCCTGTGGCATTAGGCACAACCTGAAGGACCATTTGGGGGTGGGTGGGGGATGCAAGATCCCCCAGAACTGTGCAGAGTTATTGTGGGCAGAAAATCTATCTTCATCTCTGGAACCAGGATAGAATATCAATAAATATATGGAGAATGAAAGGCAGAAACAGCCCATTTCTTGTTTAATAATATATATATAAAATGAACACTTGTGTTTGCCATGTGCCAGTCATTATTTTAAGTGTTGTACATACATAACTCAGCCATGGTAAGAGGCCATGAGTCAGTACCATGATTAGCCTTACTTTAGAGATGAGGCACCCAAGGTAGCAAGAGGTTAAATAGTTTGCCCAAGGTCACACTGATGAGGCAGAGCTGGGTGAAGACACAGGTACAGGCTGATTCTAGAGCCCAGACTCTGGGCTACCAGGATATGCAGTATCTCTAGGAGGAGAAGCATTGCTCCTTAAAGGAAATGCCTGTGTTTTAATGATCTGCCTCACCTACACCATATAAGGCTGCCTACTGACCAAACCCTGCCTCCCTCAGGTCACCTGCCCTGTGTATCTGACCCATCCCCTCCCCCTTTCCTTGCCCCCTCTTCTGCTCTGGCCCTGAGACACCTTGGAAGGAGAAGGGAAGGGGTGGAGACATGCCTGGGAGTGCTGTAGAAGTTTGGGACCTTTGGGTTGGTGGCATCAGTGGAAGATGTCCTGAGTCTGAATTGAGGGTGGAATTCTAGAAATCTGATTCTAGGACTGGGCACAGACAAGAGAAAGTTGTCCAGAGAAACTTAGGGGTCTTGTTTGTTAATTTGTTTTGTTTTGTTTTCCCCAGGTAAAGGTTCCAGCAGGAAAAGGGGATGGTATTTGGACCTGACCCTGGGCAGAGGCTGAAATCTCTCTGTGGTGTGGCAAAGAGACCCAGGAAGGTGAGGAACGCTGGGGACACTGTCCCTGCCCAGGCAGGTGCAGTCCTTCCAGGGCACCAGCTGGCTACTCTGGCCATGGCTCTGGACACCTCTTGAGCAAGGGTCAGGAAGTGACTCAGGCCACACTGACTGTGACTCTGATGACACTGTCCCCCACTTTGGGCCTTGCTAGACCTGTGTTTACTCAGCAACTTGGCAGCCTTGGAGGGAAGGACTTAGAATCCAGTCAAGGAAGTCAGGAATGGAAGGGGAGGAGCAGGAAGGTTGCTGAGGACATCTTGGTACTCTACATCCCCAAGCCCTGGGCTCTTCTCCTTGTCTCCAAGGCCCCTTTGCTCTTCTCCCCAGACCCTGCCTCCTTGTTGTCTGTTGGTTTCTGCCCTATAATAAAGAGGCAGGGGCTTAGGAGACCAACTTTGGTATAGAGACTTATGATGGCAGAGCCGTGGGTCACAGCCGCTGCCCAGCAGCAGGAGAGATTATACAGCATATGACTAGCCTGGGGTTAAAAAAAATGTATAAAAATCTAGAGTGTGGTTGCTACTCTACTGAATGCATATCATTTCTATATCATTGTAATGTAGAAAAATCATAAATGGAAATATTTGTGTATTTAGAGTCTAAGGTGGGCAACATTCCAAGTAAAGGTAACTATAGTCTTAACCATGGTCAGTTAGATAAGGGCTTTCATTGCCTCCAGCCACAGGTTGCCAGAAATGCACCTGGGGTGTACAAGCTGAGTGAGTTACTCCTCGCAGCAAGGGAGAGCATGTGCTGTGGGGATCTCAGTGAGAGGGCATTAGGAAGGTTTTAGAAGGTTTGGGTGATTAGGGAACTTGGGGGAGAGCTTAAGGCAGTGAGACTTTGTTCTGGACTGGATGCTGTCAAGAAGTGGAGCTCATTCTGTGATTGGGTGTCTTAATAAATCTTGCCTAAGGAGGGCAGTCTAGAAAGAGACAGAAGCTTTAGCTGGTAAAGAAGAGTTTTTTAAAAAAATAGTTCACACTTGAAATCACAGTGATTCGGGAGGCTGAAGCAGGAAGAGGATTGTAAGTTCAAGACCAGCCTCAGCAATTAAGCAAGACCCTGTCTTAAAATAAAAAGGACTAGGGACTTAGCTCAGTGGTAAAGTGCCCCTGGGTTCAATCTCAGTACCAAAAAAAAAAAAAAAAAGAAGAAGAAGCTTTTACTCTGATTCGCCATATAACAGGAGAGTGTTCGGTCATTTTTGTGTTTGGACACTATTCATGTTTTGTCTCTGTTTAGATACATAATTATGAAGCAGTCTGTTTTTTGTCTTGATCCATCCTGGTGACAGATGGCCTTGTTGGATGTTGATGTTTATGAAACTGAGTGGGCACAGACAGGACCAGGACTGTGCTGTGCCAGGCCTGATCTGAGCCACCAAGGCTGGCTGAAAGGACCTGGGAGCTCACACATGTCAGAACTGCTTTGGTCTGTTATTCTCAAAGTACAGATGAAGAGACTGAGGCCCAGAGAGGCTTAGTAATTTGCCCAAGGTCACATATGACTGAGAAGGTGGTGGACATTGTTTTCAAACCTGGATTTTGGCTCCCAGGTCTGTACATTTAAGCACCAACCAGGTTGCCTGTTACCCAGCAGGCGCTTGGCTGTCATCCTAGGGCTGTGTCCCAAGCTAGGCTGTGAGACTGGAGGGCAGGGGCATGGTTTGGGACTGATGGTTAGTTTCATAGAGATCGAGACAAAGCTCCACCTGATCATGAGGCCACATCTCTCTACTGGCCACCCAGACTCCATCTGCTTGGGAACACAACAGCCCCTCAGACGCCATCTCTGTCCCACACAACAGTGCACGTTCTCACACTGCTGGCAGGGGACCTCCACCTGGGCCCCAGGGGGATAGAACAGGCCAAGGGAGTCTGCATGCTGTGGCCCTGCTCTGAGAGATGCCAGTCCTCTTGTGGAGCACCCAAAATGCCACAAAGCAATGGAAATTGCAAGAAGTCAGGGAGATGCAGGAGAAAGGCAGCATGTGTGAGCTGCCCTGTGACTTGTTGAGCTGTGTGACCTTACTCAAGTTAGTTAGCCTCTCTGTT